CACTGTGACACGGAGAAAATATATACAATGAAACGCTGAGAGTATCATGAACCTTGCAAACTCATTGGTATTTTTATCTTCGAAACTCTTATCTTAATTTCCTTTTACACGATTGGTCAAATTCTTTCATTACACGCAAAAATTGTATATTAAAAAGCAAACATAAAAAATTGCAGTTGAACGCCTGTGACATTCAGTAAGATCTTGTTGGTTTACTTAGTAAGATTCAAAACAGGTTTTTGTACTTTTCAAAAACAAGATCAACACGCCTAATTCATAAAACCACATATATATTATAGTTGTTTTTTTTTACTAACAATGAATAAATTTGACTGTGACTAATGCGGGGGCATTTTTATGACATGGCTGTTCTGGATTTTACCCAACCTATCATAAGGGACATGAAGATATTTCCTGTTTCTGGTAGATATATGTATTATGAGTGGCACTACGTACTATTCATTTTTTTATATAAATTAAACCCTTTAACATTAACAAGTTGATAGCTATGAGAATCATAAGAAGTTGTTTTACTGATTAGTATCCATGAAATTGAAGATAGATACGCGTTGTTGAAATCTGTATTTAACGTTCATAAAAAACACGAAATTTGAGAAAACTGTAATAACGATACCTATTAACCACATACTTGAATGAAACATTTGTTTTTGTTTGTTGTTAATAGTTTTCCAAATTTTTCATTGTATATACAGGGTTACCAAAAGGTGGGGACATAACTTACGTAGTGATTCCTTGGGTCAGTATAAACAGAAAATCAAGAATAACATTTTTTTACAAAATCGCTTCGTTAACCAGATATCCGCCATTTTGAATTTTTTGACATAACATTTTTATCTTTTAATTTTTTAAACCGATCTTTTATGAAACTTTGTATGTATGTTAAAGTAGAAGAGATCCATTTTAGAAAAAAAATCATCTTGATTCAGCTTAAAATTCCAAAATGGCCGCCATTTTGAAATGTTTAGCTGAATCAAGATGAATTTTTTTCTATCATAGGTCTCTTATACATATCATTAAACATCTTAAACATACATTATAAGTTGCATAAAGATCGGTTGAAAAAAATCAAAGATAAAAATGTTTATGTAAAAAATACAAAACGGCGGATTTCTCGTTAACGAAGCTATTTTGTAAAAAATATTATTCTTGATTTTATCTTTATTTTGAGCCAGGAATCACTACGTAAATTATGTTCCCGCCTTTCTTGAACACCCTGTATGTATAGGGGGGTCCTGACCTAGTGCTAATTTTTTGGGGGTAGCCTAGTACATTACCCAAAATGTGACTCAAATACACAATTTAAAAAATTCTAAATCACACACTAACAAAAAATACCCCCGCCGCAGCAAACCTGCCGTCTAAGCGAATTTCCATTTGGCTGAATTGATTTTCAATAGATCTATTTAAATAACATTAGGTTTAACGAGTACCTAGGTTTGCTGCTACAAGGAAACTAATAAAGTGTGTTTTTAGTAAAATATTGATAGCTTACTATAAAATAAATAAATTTGCCAAGTTTGATCAAAATATATCCATAAACAAGCAAACAACAACATTTTACAATATTCTCCATAAGAATAACATGGGAATTTTAAATTTACCATTTTTTTAGTTTTCTCCGTAACCAATAACCGTACAAAAACACGTTGATATACTGAATTGTTTGTTTTTTTAAGCTCTTTAAGAAGGTTTAGAGAAAAATTGGGAAATTTTGAGTTTTGAGGGTCAAAAGTGAGAAAAACCAATTTTTACCCCATAAAACCCCCCATAAAACCCTGTTCCCATGGTCCGATCATGCTGGATCGCGAACTCATTCAAGTTTATCCCGCCTTACACCTTCAAACCAAATTTCATCAAAATCGGATAAAAATTACTCAAGTTATCGTGTTCACGGACACATATATATATATATATATATATATATAAAAATTTGAACGAATGGTGTTTTTGGCCTCTGGGGACATCAAAATGAAAAAGTAAATCGGTCCCGGGCCTAAGTCTTACCATGAGACCTACGGTAATAGCTACTTCCCTATAGGGAAATTCGCTAAAATGTGTTGATTATTTAAATCACCCCATTTATGTAGCAAAAACTCCAAATTTGGGTTTTAAAAATTATGTTTTGACTACAACACTACAATTGCATTCTACGTTAAATTAGTAAGAACAGATAAGTTTAGATGAACCTGAAGTATCAGAATCTTTATTTTAATGGATTAGAAATGAAAAATTATATTTAAAAAAAGGATAAACAAGGTTATATACACTTTTGTAAAGAAAATGATAGAACGTAGCATTGGGCCAAGGCCGCACTAGATATACACGGGGAGAAACTTGCACTTTTGGCGGGGAGAAACTTTTGGCGAGGGAGATTTCTCTCAGTCCTATTGTCGCACCTCTGAAATTGTCCGCGTGGCTGCCCATGCGGACCCAGGCCGGACCAGGTCCAATTCAGGGTGTCCTCCTGATTGCGAACAGTCCAGACTGCGAACAGTCCAGATTGCGAACAGTCCAGACTGCAAACATGTTTGGTTCTACGAGGTGGAGGGGGTCGTCCGTGGGGTGGGGAGGATTCCTGATTGCGAACACATTTTGAGTGGTCGGGGTTTTCAACCCTTTCGTAAAAACCCTTGACAGAATGATTTAGCCAAAATCACAACTTAAGACTGGTAATATACATAATGGAGAGGATGAATGTTCTTGAAGACACATATATTTATGAGACATAGTATAATTTTACGTAAAGCCGCTTTTATAACAGACAGGTTCTTTCAGTCTGACAAATTCGTTTTGATAATATTTAAAGTGGCTGTTTATTTAAAATTAATTATAATATGTTTCACTTGAACAAGCAACTACAATAACTAAACAATCTCAGAGTAAAAGAAATAAAACAATCATTTAATATGAATAACACTAGAGTTTAACATAATTAGCCGAAATAACATGCATTTGCCAATATCACATTCCAAACTCAATCATTACCTAAAAAAACTTCGTCAACGAGTCATTTAAATAGTAACTAAAACAAATAAAATACTTACATACCGGTACATCTTACATCCGAAATAACATAAATATGCATTACACATTACAACATCAATCATTCAAACACATTCCCAACTCAATCATTAGCTAAAAACATAAAAAACAAGCAATTAAAACTCACGTTCAACAACAGCGACTAAACCATCTTTACAGATACCAAAATATTTGTTCGCACGACTCATTTTCAGGTAGCCCACAGCATTTTTGAGGTGTTCGCAGTCTGGACAATTTTACCCTTGTTCGCAATCTGGACTGTTCGCAATTAGGACACAACCAAAATTCAGTCCTGTTGTCACACCACCTGCAAGGGTGTGCAATTTCTCCTGATCTGAACCCCATGGATTTCATTGTGTGGGGGTTTATGATGGCTGAAGTCTTTACAACTCCAATAAATAGTGAAGAGGAACTTTTTAACCAAATCCAAATCTCAGCACCCACAGTTAGGGAAAAGCTAAGCCATAAAGTTGGGACAATGAGGAAAAGAGCAAGAGCCTGCATACGACAGAATGGAGGACATTTTGAAAATAAACTTTAATAAACCAGGTGTGAATTGTGAGTGATGAGTGATATCCATGATGATTCCCAACACTTATGATCTTTTTCTTTTTACTTCTTTCTGCGTGCAAAATAATTATTTGCAGCTTCATGTTGCACCTGTAATTAAAATGAGGATTGTAATTTTTTCGTTTATAATTGTTTTAACCATGCTTTACATTATTTTAATCCAAATAACTGTACTTAAAAAACAACAAATAAAAAAATAATAAATATCTTTCGAAAGCCCCCTTTTTTAAGAGGTTGGCGGCTTCTTTTAACCTTGCATTTGCCCGTCTACATAGATTACAGATCTGTTCGTGGAACGTAGTATCCAGCAAAGCAAGGGGTGAGCCGGTACAGTACGAAGGTGAACTGTACCACAGAAAACATACTACTGTATGTTTTCTATGACTGTACTGATGAAATGTTTGTGGCAGTGACCAAGATCCGAGCCCACGACATCGCTGCATTGAGCCCGAAGTCCGTGACGCTTCAGTTCCATATGAGTAGCCATAAACAAATATAATTTCTGCATATTGATAATTTGAAAGCATCTTAAGATCACTGCACCAAAACACACTAAAAATTATAGTTTGTAATTGATAGCTTATCTCTTGATAAGGTAGGATGTAAACAGATATTGGGAAATTCTTTGAAATTATCCTCAAATGATAACTTACAAATATCAACTGATCCTGGTTTATATAAACCTATCCATTCTTACTAAAAATTTAACGTGGAATTCAATGAAACGGGTTTTTTTTAAATAATCAAATAATTTTTTTGAGTAAGTGTGTGATTTTTTCAAATTGTATATTTGAGTCACATTTGGGTTGGTGTACAACCCGAAAAAGTGTGTAACACTAGGTCAAGAAGTATTTCCTAATTGTTTACACATTAGTTCTGTTTCTATATTTAAATAGGTACAGTAAACAGTAATTGTTCGGGGTTGCGTTCAATAGAGAGAGTGAGAAAATTTGATTGAAACACTAAAAAAAATCACCTAAGAGCAATTTTAAGTTTACCAAAGATTGTAATAAATTTACTTGTGGATGCTTATTTGGTTTGACTTCACAGTATAATATGACGTACTTCATCCCAAATTATTATGGTTGATAAGCCTAACATGGCTTATGGCTTTATCATGGTTTTTTAGTACTATGAATCTTTCGTCGAAGAACCTCCTTTAGTTAGTTAGAACTCTCTGCTTTTTATTACAATTTAAGGCCCAATAGTGTTAATAATTGTCTTAACTCTATTAAACTTTCGCATCCTTCCCATGTGGTTGTCATAGGGCTTTGTGACTGTATCTAACTAAATTAGACTGTATGTAACTAGTCTAAATTAACGATTTTGAAAACTTTTGCTTAGACTATTGAGTATGGCAAACTTACGGAGTTTCCACTGTTCGTAAAGAAAATCCATACATTGAAATATGTTCCGCGTTTAAGTAACTCATTTCATAACCAAAGCTCTTCTCGTAACACACTGTTTCACATTGGAGTTTTGAACTTGCACTTTGAGAAACACTCAAGATTACTCATCATATCACACATTAACCGAACTCTATTTTTTACGTCAACAAACGTTCCTAAGTAAGTCCAACTTGAGCTAAACTCACTCCAGTCTATTTCAACTATTTCGAGTTGCTTTTTCCTCATCCAAACCGGTGGGGACCATTGCTCCCTTGTATGGTATCTCGGCCTCTGGTTGGCTACGTTGTTCTGTCCTCATTTGCATACGATGTAGGTTTGATTCGTAAAATAACTAATTCTTGAGATGAACATAGTACGTATTTATATCTGAGCAGTAACATTACTGTGATAAATGTTGGGATGCCAAAAAACAATATATAAGAAATTTACCAATGGGGGAATATTTAGATGATGTTTGTTTAAATAAACTTTGATCTGTACAACAATAATTAATTGTTGGGCAAAAGTGTGGACGCTATTTATTCCAGAAAAACAAAACTCTGCATAACTCTATATGACATAAAAGTACACTATTTCGTCGGTATCCCGATTTCGTCCCGAAACCCAAAATATGGTATCTTTTGGTATAGTTAACACTTTCTGAATATAAACGCCCATCAAGTGGACCTCATTTTGAAGGTCATCGGTTAAAAAGAATATCGGTGAAAACTAGAGGTCTTTATTTCAACCCGTTACAGGATGGTGGCCATTATAATTTTTCATCAGCCTAACTAAATCAGCCCCACTAAAAATATACATCAATATTCACTAACTTTTTATTGGGTTGCACCAGGAAACTCAATATTACCGTTAAAAGAAACTAAACAGTACCCTTTGGTCGGTTATTACACTTTTTCCCGGAACCCAAATGGGGTACGGTATTTCAGGGCAGCTCAAAATGTTTCAATATGAAGCCTCACCAATTGACAACTGATTTTAAAGGCCACCAGTTAAAAAGAATATCGGTGTAAACTAGAGGTCCTTACCTTTAATTATGTAAAATGTAATTATGTAAAATGTTGTTCTTTTACCCAGTAAAACATGGCGGCAGTTTGTGTAAAATGTATAACAAATTTCCTTCTGACATCTTGTGGGCCACCTCAGTGTGATGGAAAATTAATATTTGCATAAAAATTGCATATTTATGTATGTTACTTATGTGCAAAGCTTCGTTGCATTATCTGCAAAGGTTCAACAATTAAAATTCCGCTGCCGGGCCTTTAAAGGACCCAATAGGGTTGCGTGGGTATTTTGTGTAAATGTCTTTGTTGGTGAGGGTAACTTTATATTTTTAAAGGATTGTTGTTGAAATGCTCATTATAGATCAATATAACAAAATTTTCGTGACGTCTCTGGATCTCGAATATAACCTCTTCCTTCAGGTAGGTTCTAAGTGTCGTATTTTTAAGTTATATGATAAAATTAGGTTATTTGTTTTAGGTCCCTGTATCACAAGAAGGCAAAATCAAAACACACACCTACTGTGTGTTAATAATTACTTTTTCCTACAGTTACCTAACAATGTACATGTTCTCTCACTGATTTGAGAAAGCAAAGTGGCCAATTCTCTCATCAGTGAGACAATGTTAACATTGTCTCACTCTAATTACTTTGTCTCACTCCAGATTTTCAACGTGAAGGCACGAAATAGTGAGCGCGTAACATGCAGGCAACGTCGTATGCGCGTGAAATACGTTGGCAGCACTGGCTGTAAATCAGCTGGTCAGCTGTTGTACTGTTGTATTTGTCACTTCACATTAAATGTTATATTAAAAGTTAACTTCTGTGTAAAAATAGGTTATGTTTCTTCACCAATTTATTTGTTTTATGGTAACTGTAGGAAAAGTATAATGTGCAACTCGAGTTCAAAGTACAATTGCCTCACTCGAGAAACCATTCCTCGTGAGTAAGGATTTCTCTCGAGTGAGTCAATTGCTCACTTTTCTCACTAGTTGCACAAATAACTATTTAGTTGTCTTTGATGAAGGGAGGCTGTGCAGTTAACGAGCTAGAGCAAGTGTCTATTTCACCGATTGATAAGGTTTCAACGTCAATAACGACTTTGACCACACCACTAACATTATCAACTTCCCCTCGTTCACGTGGTTTTTATAAATACCGATATATTAATATGTATATATACAGGGTGTATTGCAACCTTAAGAACAAACTTTGTCCCGTTATTCAGCATGTCAAAAGAAACAAAAAATGTAACATAACATGTGTCCTATCTCATTCCGTTTTCTGTCTATCTGTCTGTGTATGTTTTTTACAAAAACATGCATAACTCCTTAAACTGTTTAAATTACAGTGTTGAAATTTATCTTGTTGACCGCTATTTGTGTCTAAAATATGAATAAAAACTCTGAACCGTTTAAAAAAGGCGGATTTAAACAACATTTGATGCAAAACTCCATGAAAACCGGTAATTTTACAAAATATTTGCACAATATGTAATTTTTTTAATTTTATGCATATTACAATTATATCTTATAAGCTTAGTTTGGACAAATAATAACTGACAAATCAATTTTGTTCTTGTTATACATCAGTTTTCTCAATCAACATTGTATAAATGGAGTAAACGGAAGGTACAACAAGAAAAAAATAATTTATCAGCTATTCTTAGTCTAAACTAAGCTTATAGATATCGTTGTAATCTGCATACAATTTACAAAATTTACATGTCTTGCAAATATTTTGTAAAATTAAAGGTTTTCATGGAATTTTGCATCAAATATTTTTAATAGCCGCCATTTTTAACGTTCAAGAGTTTTTCTTCAAATATTGGACAAAACATAGTGGTCAATAATATAAACATTTTTACAGAATTTGAACGCTGTAGCTCAAACAGGATTTATGAATGTTTTTGTAAATAAAGATTATATACAGACAGATATACCTAAACGGAATGAGATAGGACCCATTCTATGTTACATTTTTTGTTTCTTTTGACGGTTGCAAGACACCCTGTAGGCTATATTAATGTGAAACTCCCAATGTGATTTATCAACAGTCGCCTAAACATTGTCCAATTGAGTATATTTGCTAGACTTCCGTCTCGTTGCGAGTTCGATAACAGGCCATCGCCTTTATGTGGCAAATGAAGACAATATAAAACCATCTATAATCATACCGCTCACCACAACCAACATTTTGAATTATGCTATACCCTTGAGGCCCTTCACATAGTAGATCCACATCAAAATCAATGTAACCAACTGGTTGTAAGAAATTCGGCATTGATACACCATTTGGTACTAAAAATAAAGCCCCCCTCTGGTTTAAAATTATTATAGTAAAAAGCTACTCAATTCAGATGAATTTTATTTTCTATTTTGGTCTTATTTCATTTTTATCTATTCCCAAAAACATATTCTCGTTCAATATCCATTTATTTGTGAGTGATATGAACTGTTAAAAAACTGTCAAAAAAACTGAAAAAAATCAACTGTTCCATAAATCAGCTGTTTAATAGAGAACGATGCATTGTTGTTATTTTCCTCCCATTTCTTGTTTACAAACATTGTATTCATATACAGGGTGAGTTTTAAATGAGTTCTCCCCCTACTTTTTTCTACATTTCTTAAGATATCAACTCCGGACCACGTCAGCTCATTGTAGAGTAGTAAGTACTTCATTTTGACTGGGTATAAATTTTCGGCCGCCAACTTGGATCCTCCATATTGGATACAAAGTTTTTTATTCAAATGTAAAGGTAGGGTTGTGACCCATCGTTTCGAACTAGATTGTTACGCTGAATACGATGCTGCAATCCGTTTAAAAACATCTCGATCCATTCTAAAGTTATGAGAACTTTTTAAAACTTTATTTTTAGCCCATTTCAACATTGTGCATTTAAAAAACTAAGACCATAATCTCAAAATAGTCTTAGGTAAAGATGAGTATACACCACCATTCATTGTCGACTTATTTTCACTTGGTTAAGACGGATGCATTTTTTCGGCCACCATCTTGGATCCGCCATTTTGAAATGTGATAAATTATTTTAAATATGAAGGTGGTGTTGTGACCCATCATTTGGAACTACCTTTTAATGCTGAACTCAATGCCACAATCCGTTTTTTTTATTTTCATCTTTGGTTTTTGAAATATAGACATTTTAAATATAAATATTGTAATATTGCATCAAGAATGCTTGATAACAAAAAACGTATTGCGGCATTAATTTCAGCATAAAAAAATAGTTCAAAATTATGGGTCACAACACCACCTTTATATTAAAAATAATTTATCACATTTCAAAATAGCGAATCCAAGATGGCGGCCGAAAAAATACATCCGTAATAACCAAGTGAAAATAGGTCGACGATGAATGGGGGTGTTATCTTTATCTAGCACTATTTTGAGGTTATGGTCTTAGTTTTTTAAATGCACAATGTTAAAATGGGCTAAAAATAAAGTTTTAAAATGTTCTCATAACTTTAGAATGGATCAAGATTTTTTTTTATGGATTGCAACATCGTATTCAGCGTAAAAATCTAGTTTGAAACGATGGATCACAACCCTAACTTTACATTTGAAAAAAAACTTTGTATCCAATATGGCGGATCCAAGATGGCGGCCAAAAATGTATACCCTGTCAAAATGAAGTACTTACTACTCTACAATGATGTGACGTGATTGGAGTTGATATCCTAAGAAATGTAGAAAAAAGTAGGAGGGGAATCATTTAAACCCCCATATGTATGTGTATGTACATGAACTTAAGGTGTCAAAGTACATTAGAAGTATCTAAAATTTTGGAATGGAAGACTTGTTTTCATAATTTTTCGTATGAATAACAAACTACAAACGTACATAAGTAAGAGTAAATATTCGCACAAGTGCCGCTGCCGGTATGTTTTGTTTGGTATCTGGAGCTGTGGTATCCGTAGTAGTGAAACGCAATATGGAAACCCAACGGTAACGGTTTAAATATAACGGCTGGGCCACACACACACACACACAAGCACGCCGCATACCCTGTCGTATCGGTTACCTACGCATTCCTTTGAGACCTGGCGATCAAAATCAATTCTTTTCTAGTCTATTATAAACATACGGAATAAGTTAGTATTGAAGGTTTTACTTCATTTTTTTGTATTCTTACACCTGTGGCCTTTTTTCTTTTTGTAGACCTACGTCAGGCCTACAAAAACTATGGTATTTTCATCTGACGCTATGGAATTTTCATTTGTTGTTTGAGAGTATAGTTAATTAACCAACATGTATAGGACATTTGTCAATTTTGTGAAG